AAAACTGTAATAAAAAATAAAAAAGCCGTTATTCTAATTTCTTAGTAGGTACACCGCCTATTGTGATTTTTAAATCAATATTTGTTACATTGAATTAAAAATGTATTATTTTTTATGCTTTTTTTTTTTAACTAGCTTGTATTTAAATTGTTAAACAAAAAAAATTCTTATTGCAATAAACAACTGTACATTAAAAAACCATGTAATGATATTTTTAATTTGTACCTACCTATTCATTTTTTTTCGCTATTATTTTACATTGAAAAACTTTAACCGTTCATAGTAAAAAAAAAAACATTTTAATAATATATTTATTATTAATTCATTTTTATTATGTGTATTTATTATTTATGTTGACTGTTTCAAAATAAAATCGCTAATGCCTAAACAACAATAAGCAACGGTGTTTACTAATTAACAACAATGATTATTAAAATGGATGCCAAACAGCAATGCTCAAAAATTGTTTTTAAATTAATCTTGAAAGTCTATTGCAGATAATTGCATCGTGTAGGTGCGATTTGTTTGAAAAAAAGCTCCAATGATTAAACCAATTTTGTTTTTAAAATCTATTATTTAATTTATTTAATGATGTAGGCAGGTACCTAAACTACTGTATAATTGTTGTAAAATGTTGTCTGCAATTAATTATTATTGTACCTATACCTACATTGCATAAGTTACATAATACATATTATGATAAACTCTAAATCCTAAATAATTCGTACAAATATGAAATAATGTTTAATTGCTTTACGGTTACAATGATTATGTGAACTTAACTAACAATATAATATTGCCTGAATATACCCAAGCTTTACAGTTATTTCCTCTTGATTTTTAAATCAAGATAAATTCGTTTTCATTTTATTTGTATGACTTCTTTTAAAATAATTAATCCATACAACATTATTTTCATATATTTTATGACACAACACGTTTGAAGCTAAACCAAAAACGTAATAATTATAAAGGTTTATTTGCACAAATAATAGTGTAAATTAAAATACATATTCATCGATATAGGTACTATATTGGCCATTCATCATTATAACCAAACATAAAACAGCAAGCTATTATGTACCACATATGCGTATCTTATAGCAATAGTGACATGATACAAATCACCTATTATTATTGTTATTATTATGTTTTGTATCAAACTATTTTCATAAGCCTGTTATAACTTACAAAATATGTAACAACGTAAATCAATAAACGGCTCACAATATAATATGTAAAATACTAGATTATAATATTATTATTATCGTACACACCGATACGTATTTATTTATTCCGATGTTTTTTTTTTTGATTATCGATATTTATTTATGCTCGGGACATAAATACCGAAAATATGGTAAACCTTTTTTTCCGCTTCCGGTACCTATCTCGTCAATAAATAAAAAAAATTACCCACAACTCATAGATTATTATTATATATTCCGAAAAAATCTGATTTATATGATTAAAGGGTCAACACTTGACATTATTTGTCTGAAAAAAAGTTAATTTGGTGCCCTGTATCAAAAATATTTTTTCGCTCATGGAATTTCGTATATTTTACGCTTACGAAACGTGTACTGGCAATAGTTTGAGTACATCGATTTCAAAAGAAACCATTTCGTTTGGGGGTTTTAAGAGTCTCATATAAATATTATGTGAGAAATGTTAAAAACACATAATTCTCTTACTAAAAGACTCTACAAACAAAAGTGATTTATTAAATGCAATAAAATAAAAAAGTTTAAAGATACAAAACTTGGTGTAGTAAATTTCATTTACGAAAAAACGAAAAAAAAAAAAAAAACAATAAAATACATTATACAATATACATACACTATACACATAATATAAAATACAGTAATATAGTAAGATTATTACGATTTTTATTTTCAAGTTAGAATGTTATAAATACACGTCTTACTCTGTTTATTAAAATAAATACAACCGTAATTCAAATATTTGAAAAATTCCATAGCTACCTATATGGTATAATATGGCCGACGTGTTGTAACTTGTAACTACCATCTTGTAATAAAATATAACAAATTACAAGATAGGTACCTTTCACAATATTAAATTATTGACACAATTATACTTATTATTTATTGGGCTGATGAAATAAAATAACTCAATATTTTCCACATCCTTAATAACGTGTAATGTGTATTCAAATGTATGGCATGTGCGTATTATGTATATGAATTTGAGTTTTAATAAATTTACTCTCCAAGTCACACTCCTCAAATTGAATTAGAGATGGCGCATACCTCGATTTTAGTATTTCCGTGAATATTTATTATATAGACCCTTAACTGTCATCGATAATGATTTATTTTTAAGTTGAATTTATATCGTAATCCGTTATTAAAATTCTCTATTGTGATACAAAATAAGGTCAGCATTCAATGTACTGAATACTTTAATATGAATTTTGAATATTCTTAAACTATTTATAATTTAAAATCTCGTCGATAGTGATTTCAAATACAATCGAAATATTTTTTTTTATAAACAACGATACAACCAACCAAATCAGATTTTACGCTTATATATTATTATATTAATATTATATGTATATAGTTTATTTATTAGTAAAACAAAATTAATTCGATTACCGATTGGAAAATGGTCGCCAGGGATAAAACAAGACCGGGTTTTCGGTTGTCATCACGCTTCGATGTCCTGGGCACATCCACACAGGGCACAGTCCTATAATACTATAATACAATTGTATGAACATTTTTAATTAGTTATTTAATTATAACACACAATTTGGATAAGTTTTTATTCAGTTTTTGTGTCGTTAATATTCTTGTTTTTTGTTAATTTAGCCAATGTTCTTCTAAAACGTTTTAGGGGTGGTTGAGCTATAATTAGAATCAAGGACTTTAAAAGGGTGCAAATACGAGTCTGATACTTTTATGGCCTGTTTTTTTTTAAAGAAATTTTATGAAATCATGTACTTACTTTAGAAAAATCTTAAATATATTTTGATGTATATAATAATAAAAAAAATGCAGTTATATTATTATAACGCATATATTTTACATAGTACTATAATGTATTATGGTGGCTAATTAGTATTTATGAATTATATGATATTATATAGTACAACTATACTCTATAATATAAATATAGACATATATATCTGTCTTTGAATTGTGTCTCATATAAAATTATATTTTCGTATGTTAAAGACTTTTTTTTAGGGCATTAAAAATATTTTAATACAAAAGCGCCTGCACATATTGTATTATGTCCCACCCCTCCTCATACGAAATAGTTATGTAAACGCCACTGATGAGAATAGGTAATACCATTCACATAAAATATTGTCATATTGATGTATCTAATTCAAAATTCAAATGAGTAGTTTCTGAGTTATTAAAATGTATAAACTAGGATAATAGCAGTTCATACAAATAGGTTTAGAAAATGTTCAAATACATAAATAATATTGTATCTTGTATTTCTTATACTCGAAAAATGTTTACAAATTATAAAATGTTGATAAATATTAATTACGTAGGTACTAAAATGTTCAAGTCATCATAGCTATCATATCTTTCAAACCCATTATCCTTATTCCTTTTTATACATTAAAGATGTATTTCATTGTTATTAAGGGGAAACATGTATGTTGAATCATCCTTATTCCACTGTTGAATGTCTATTAAATGGTCAGGTCGTAGAAAAATTGTAAGTTTTATAACGATAAATCTGAAAATGTTATTTTTTTCAAATTATTTTACATTGACATAAAACTTAAATTAATAATGAATGAAAAATTCAAGTGCTTTGTAGGTATGATTATATTTTTATGACAGTAAGGTTTATAACCAATATTTAAAAAAAAATTTCGGTTTTTTCCCCATTATGTTTGGAATACTAATATAAAATATTTAAGAATTACCTTTTTAAAATCTCACCAACTATATAAAATATGACCAATCAATAGATAATTCCGTTTGATATTGAGCACTTTTTCTACTAATAAACATGACGACGGACAAAACTAACTAAAAAAACATCATTTTTTTTTTATATTTGCATATTTCGCTTCGTTGAATATCTAAAATAAGATTACAAGTATTTTCTAAAATTGGTTTTGCATATATATCCAGCTGATGGCGTTTGTAAGAGTTATTGCTACAAATTTGATTGAAAAATATTTAATGTAATATAAGTTTAGAACGTCGTTATAAAGTAATAATAAAAATAAATTTATACAACCGTAATAAACAATGAGCTTACAATATTTGAATATGAAAAAAAAAAATGTATAATTTTATTTAAAATACGCGTCTGTGGGGAATAAAATTGTTATCGTCAATAACACTGCGTCGTATCTTAGGAAGTATTTATGTATTTGTGTAAGTTTTTATGGCGTAGAATGTAATATGTATATTATGATTACGTGTACATATTATATGTATACGAATATTTTTTTTCCCGAATTTGGTGGGACCAAACAAGTTTGGTAGTCGTCATTGTTGTGCAACCGAGCAAATAGAACGGAAACCGCAGTGAAAATGGATCGAAACGAAACTGAGCGTGATGAAGAATAGCAATGGCATATAACTCCCACTCTAACCCTACACGGTCCCACACCCTTTGCCACTCGCGAATCCATTAGGTAAATAAAAAAAGGAAACGCCCAAAATATTGATACGTCACACGCAAAAGTTCGTGTGTACCCCTGTGGGAGAACGCATCCTAAGCCGATGACTCTCCGCGCATAAACACCGAGCGCACGTGTGATATTATATAATATTTTATAAAAGGTGGGTAGGTAATTACCACCCATCTACCTGCTTTTGGGTTTTATTTCGAGCCCATCTATCATTATACTTTGCTCGACGCGACATTAAAAAAAAAAATACATTTACGATTCGTCCAAAAAAAAAAAATATGTTTAAACAACAACTATATATTATAGCCTGCAGGTATAACCTATACGACGACGATAATTTATTAAATAAACTATATTATCGATGTCTCGAGATTTGAATTTTTTGTTTTTGTTTTTTCCTCCCCCAGCATTGTTGACCGGTACGCTCAGGACGTACCACAGGGTGGGCTGCGAGACCCAATCGTTGGCGCTGACCTGCCCAACCGGGACGATCATCTCGGTGCAGTCGGCCCAGTACACGCCGGGTTCGTTGGCGTTGCCCTGCTCCGACACCAGACTTGCCGCCAATCTCAACAACAGCTGCAGCTGGCCTCAGGCCTTACAGGTACGCCAAAACGAATACAATACGATACAATAATCGTTATAATAATAAATATCAACATACATTTAATGAGTTATGGTAAGCTGCGCGATCTTCGACGATCCAATCAAAATCTCACCATCTTGCATTTAACACGTTGGCTACCATAAGTATCACGGGTACTTCACACCCGCCATGCCATTATGTACCAGACATAATTTTGACGAACTCTTATTATATGTACCATGAGAGTCACGAGTGGGTGTTTACCAGTTGCCCCCCCACGGCTATTATCGCGATTTTAAAAATATACCAGTTGCCCCCAACCAAATGTACCAGTTGCCCCCAATTGAATGTACCAGTTGCCCTCACATGTTAATATACACGCTTACAATGTATAGCTCGTAAAATAGGGGAGGTAAATACTAAATATATAATAAATATACCTGTGTTTATTTTGATTTTTGTACTATTTTATATTGACAAATTATTATAATTTTGAATTTTATATATATTTAGCTATATATTTTATTTGTGTATATATTAACATGTGAGGGCAACTGGTACATTTGGTTGAGGGCAACTGGTACTTTTTCCTCTAGGTAGTTTGGGGGGAATTGGTATAAAAAAGGTACTTTTGGGGGCAACTAGTACATGCCCTCACGAGTTACTCACAACTCGTCATTACCTCTGTACCGTGTGAGTATCGGGTGACTCTCAGGTATTTAGTTTTATTTAAGGTTATGTAGGATTCAATATACAAGATAGGTAACGTATATTTGCCCTCGTAAATAACAGCTGACTATGTTATCAACGTTTGATTTTCCTGGCGCATCACTGGTGACTCTCATTTGTTGGAAAAAAATTCCAAAGATAGGTATAGCCTTGGTACACAGGAAACGTTTTTAAAAAAGGCTATGGTACAGCTGTAAATACATGGTGTGAGCCACGGGTGCTACTCATGGTATATATTGAAATATTATTAAAATCGGGCCTGGTAGCCAACGTATTAAGTACCTACGAGTCGGTAGTACAGCCGGTATATACCTGACGTTTATTTGGTGTTTTTTGTTTTATTTTTGTAAAATGTTAAACACGATTGTGATTCATCAAGCGTATTTTATATGCCGTTTTGTAATGAACGAATAGACACACTCCTTTACTCCACAACATATCTAATAAATAACAATTACCTCTCCCCCCCCGCTCCACTATTCATGTATATCGAGCGTCATATACAGACGAATAAAAACAAATGTTGATTCAAAGGCATGAGTGAAATGAAAATAAATCGTATAAGTTTGTAAATCAATTTATAATAAAGAGAGACGGAAACAGCGGTGACGGTAAAGAGTGAGAACGAGGGAATAAATTGGTGTACTACAAAATAATCTGTCAAACGTGGGAAATAAATTACAAAATACCAATACATTCCTCACTTCGCTCAAAATCTAAAACCATAAATATTTAAGAAATAAAACTGAAAACCCAAAACAAATGTTTTAATACCATTATTCTGTGATTTATTTATGCATATTATTATGCCTACCGGGCTACTTACGCATCACCAGAAAAATAATCATTGTCAATTAAAAAACACTTGTTTACAGAATAAATTGCACTGTTGTTATCTCAAGCAATCTGTTGCCATACTTGATATGACGTGTGCACGTCCACTTGTCTGAGCACGAATATGGTATCATTATAAATGTCGATGACAAATTTTAAAACCCAAAACCCGATTTTATTTATTTATAAATTAACGCCATTCGGCTTTTAACAATAGTGATTTGAGATAACAATAGATAAGTGTAAACATAAACTTTAACAATATTTACAAGATAGAAAAATGTGGACTTGGTACCTATTAGTTAAGGATATAATTCTTGTAACGGAGACAGTATTTTAGCGAAGTTCAACCTACTCTTTGGTAAGTGAAACCACTCTTGAAACCTGGTGTTGCCTGGGACACAAAAATAAATTTTCTCTAGTAAGCACGGTGCATCAATCTAAATGATAAATTTTGATCAGATCTCATTTAAAAATGAAAAAACCCACAATTTTGTGCGGAAAACTCCATAAGTTTGGTTAAATTGAAAATTGAAAATCAAAAATATGTATTTAATTTATGGCTTTTCATAATAATTCACAAACCATTTGGATCAATCAGAATATATTTAAATAATATTTAGTTAAAAATAAGTTTTAAAAAGTTCATAATTGTAAGTACAGTGAGATTTATCGCATGTACCATTTTTAAATACTGGTAAAATATTTCCATGTAATTATCTAATTACAAATAACTATTTAAGTATACGCATTTTCTATAAATTTTCCTACTTATAAATGCATTTCGTGAAGTGTTAAACAGTTGTGTTGATTTTCCCAGTAAACGATTCAACTCAGCTTGGTGTCAAACACATGAAATAAACATAAATTTAACCAAAAATATAATTTTTTATAACCAATCGAATAACAAATATGTCCAGATCATGTATTGTTCACACAAAAAAATCTTATTAAATAATAATGTACCTAAAAATACGTAATAGGTTGTACTCAAATAATTGTATTGTAATTTCAGAATATCAACTGATTTTCATCAGGCAATAAATATTTAGGTACTAATTTACAATTATTTATTGAAATAAAATAAAGGTATTGTTAAACATAATATTTATAATTATTATGATAGTATAATAGTATGTAAGAATGTAAGATGCAACATCAACCAAACGATTTATTTGATTGGCCCAATTTCAATATTATAAAAATTTTTGTTCAAAAACCTTTCACTGTTTAACATCATCGTATTGTTGTGCCTAACCTAACCTAACCTAACATCGGGGTATTGTAGTATTAACCCAATTTACTAATAAGTATTATAGAAAACCCCACCAAATAAATAGTTGTAAATAATCTTACAGCTATAGTAAATATAATATTATTTGAGTTAATATAAATAAAATTACCATGTAGACATGTACTTATTTACATCATTCTCTCCATTAACAAATTAAAATGTTAATGTTTTATACGACGTACCTACACGTAGGGGTCTTCTTTATTTATACAACATTACAACACCATAGAGTTCTGAACGCATAACCTTCAATTACCATTAAGTAAACCTTGTGATGAATCAACTAATTATTTTAACTAACGAATCAAGATTATTAGGGTCGTTATTATTTCAAAAACTATTTCTCCGAATATTCGATAAATTGAATATATAAAATATTTAAATTGTTTATCACAATTAAATAATACTTGCCCGAGCTTATAAAAATATGTTTTACAGCATTAGAATTATATTCACGAAGATAAATAAATATTGTTTAGTGCCAACAAGCTAAATTAAAGCAAGCAATTAGGTACGAGTAGAAATAAATTAATTCAAAACACTTTTATTATTCAAAAATAAATGAATTAATTATACATTTAAATCAGAAAAGAACACTCAAAGTAATATATGCATTTGAAGATGTTGATGATAACAAAAAGAATTTCAATATAAATAATTAAAAAAAAAATAACCATAGCATCGAAACCATTTTTAAAGTTTATTAAACCCAATTAGCAATTAAAAAAAACTGTAATGTTTTTACTTCAATCAACTTTTCAAAATCATCTTAACCTTAACACACCTATAATTCACGATGAGCTATAAGTTATAATATGACGGTGTTCTTCATATTATTATTTTTGAAATTACCTATAAGAATAGATTTATTTAGTAAAAATGCAACGTGGACATGCAATTGACGACTAAAATATAAATTAATATTTAAAGATACCAAGTTTAATAATGGGATACGCTAAAAATATGACACCAATTAATAATGTTTAGATTTGGTAATTTTGAACAAACATTTACCTACACTTATATAGTAACACTATGGTAGGGAATTGAAATTATAACTGTTTATCAGACGAATCGACATGATCTTTTATTTCATATTTACCTTCATATTACTTTTACAATCGTCCTCCTCGACCAGCTCTTCTTTTCGTCTGGTGGATTATTGAAATTATCATAATATTATTATGAATCTTCTTATCATTCTCATCCAATAATGTTTGAATAACGTCTCACTCGACGTATATTCTTGCCTTCTGCTCTGACAAATCGATAATATACCTTCCATTTCCCGTGCCTCTCCCATAAGCAATGTCACATTAATGAGATTTTTTTCTCTCCACACTGAGCTAATATTCCCCCATACATCTTTCCGCGAGTTTCCGTTGGCGATATCAGGTGAAATTCGAGGTTATGAAGTTTAAAATCGCTCGACTGAATCTACACATCCATTGTAATGTACACACATTCACATAATATTATCGTCGTAAACTTCTCGAGTATACGATTTTTCCCCCCTTTTTACGACCCCGCACCGACTACAATAATTCTGGTCTTCATATCATATACTAGATGTAATCTGCATGCTAATTTTGTCTCTATATTATATTATTCAAACATTGAAATATATACCACACACCGCCGACCACCGTGTGCTGCACGCATCAACCGTGGCTTAGAAATAATTATAAATCTTAACTCGAATTGTATTGTTTATTTAGCCGTAGCTATGCGTACGGGTCATTCATTATTATACCTGATTACCATTTACCACTATACCTACAGTATATAATATATGTTAGGTATGCTTTTCAATTTCCATTCAATGAATCGCCTATCCGTATACGACCGCGCCTTAATTAATGTATCTATGATCTCTTTCTCACATATTGTTTTACTGTCCGTATCTCTCGGCTCAACGTCGTGTATCTCTTTCACTGTGATTATATGTACACTCACTCTTACACTGCCTCCATTCATTACTGAGCTTTTGTTGAAATTATAATAAATAAAGCATAACAATTTGTATTCTGAAAACGTTTTTATATCTAATCTCTATTGTTATGTTGAACTAGTTACGTTGAGTTTTAAACAGACGTTGTTTTTATTCTACGTATAGGTATAGACTATAAGTATATGTATATTTCTTTATCGTCAAAGTAGT